ATTAAAATTAGTCATAAATTTAAAAGTTGCGATAACTTTTTTTTTGGTCCAATACTTTTGACCGGGGAGTGTACATCAGAGTAATGGAGTGATAATCTTTTCTTAATCAATACCAATTTTAACATTATAATAATTAGAGAGGCTATCTTTTGTAAACACATATTTTCTATTAGTAAATAGATTAATTAAGCAGGATACACATCTTTCTGGAACTTTAAGCCTTTTAAAAATGAGTTTAAAAATGTTTATATCAACTCTATTATAAGCCTTTAATAGATCTTGTAGACATATCATCAAATACATAAAATGGAAAGATAATAGTTACTATGTATAAAAAAAAATGATTGGCGGAAATATTTAATAATTTATAAACGTCCTGATCTTATGTTAGATTAATTTCGAAATGAAATAATAATGGACATCGTCCCTGCACTCCAAATTTCGCAAGGCCCTACATATGCTTGAAAGTTTCGATATTTGCTACGGCTATGATGCGGGGAAGTATTTTTCCGATAAATGCGCATTTCGGTGATCGCGACGAATTTCTTCTTGATGTATAAACTTTTTCCAAAATGCCGATCAAGTCCTTTAGAGATTAATCAAGTTCTATTAGCATACATAATACCCACATCACGTTGGGAAATTATTTCAGGTAAATTGCTCTTTGCTTAGGATTTCCGAATTGAATCAGTGATATTATTGATTTGAATTGAGAAATGCAAATCAAAATAAATCCTATTGATATTCATGGTAATCATCTGTAGCCTAAGAATCGAATTTGGAATTTTATAATTAGAGCAGCGTAAATGATTCGAGTTATGGACCTGTAAAGAAAAGACTAGAAGATATCAATAGGTAATTGCAGAACGTGTAACAATAAAGATCAATGGATCTCTTGTGCTTATCTTTCCTTAACGATAATAATGAACTCAAAATCTCTAAATATTTCAGCTGTAAGGTAGACTAGATTGACAGATTAATAAATTATTCACATTAAAAATAACATCAATTGATTTACAAGGCATATGAAATTCTTATTTTATTCAAAGGAAGAGTATAAAGTCTTTATTATAATGAAAGCACTTAAATCAATAGTCAAATTATTCCTGTCGTGCTAATATTATTAATATACTGCCGGATCCTAATCAATCTGTTTTCCTTTCGTTTGACTATGCCCGAGCAAAACTTTCGTATGCTTAAAACTTTATTCAGAAAAAGATGATACTATTCTTCTTTTAATTTTTTTTTCCTGAAGCCGTGCTTTCTGATATTTATCAGGGATCCAATTTTTTACCATCTCTAAGTTTCCGAATTATTAAAGTAAAATCGCAAGACCTTACTCTCCGATTCCCACCAACCGAACAACTTTAAAGCATTAAACCATATGTTGGCATCAATAACCTCAAGAGATCTCAGTGCGGCCAGGTCCTAATCCATATGAGAAGGATCGAACGAAGTGAAGAACTATATATTTCTATGCAAAGTGTCCTGATGTCCACCCGCTCAATAATTGAGTCGATGCTGATTGGCTCTTGCAATTGCACAAAAGTCTAGATAAAGTTCCGGACTTAACAACGGTCCTCGTTCCCTAGTTTAAGACTACAAACGTATGAGTCTATATAGTTAAAAAAATATGAATATTACATATATTTTGTACTAAATCTAATCTTTTTCAATAGACATTCCTATAAAACCAGGATATTTCAAGTAGAGCAAATTAATAATTCACATGGCTTAAAATTCCAAAACCATGTCTCCACAGTCCGATTAAGTTCCAATATTTGATATATAGGTTTATAATATCTATCACCAGCGATCAGAACTAAGTACCAGGATCTTTGAACAAGACTGTTCTTATTGCTGACGCCACAAGTTTTCCTTCTCACGGCGACTTTTGATGTCCCGATCAAAAACATTCACCTCAAATCCTTGATCCTTAATGCGAGACCACAATGAATCGTTAGGAGGTGGTCGAGCACCGCCTAATTTACGTCCGTTCTGAATTTGGTTAGAAGCCTACCGTGGTCAATCTGAAGCTGGTTAAAGTAATAGGAATTTCTATCAACATCCAAGGTAGATGCTGTCAACGGTGTAATTTCCCTCAATCAAGATGTTTGAATTATCAACAAATACGTATACAAGATTAGATGGCCTATCTGTTAAAGATGTTTATGAAATTTCCTTAACCAATTGTGCTAATGAATGTACCAAAGGAAATCCCATTCGATAGAGATCATCTTCTATCAAGAGAAGAAAGACGTCGCCAGTAATATTCGTAAGATCTAATTTATGTTCAGACTCTAAGAAATCAACAAGTTGCTTAGGCGACCACTTTTTGATTCCTTCGACTGAAGGAAAAGATCTCCCAGTACTAGTATCTGATTTAAATTACTTTTTTTGACGTTGCAGATATTTACGATCTGACAAATTGGTTAACCAATTTAATTTCGTCAAAACTTTGTTCAGGCTAGTTCAATATCATATGCGCGAAAGCGTTTCTGGAACTACAATCCGTTTCTAAAATAATTATAAACATGACGATGTGCACTTCTGAAAGCAATATACAACATAGAGATGAGGTGAGAAAACGATGTATTCTTTTTGATTGACCGGTACATTGTTACTACCAATAGGTTGGATCGTGATGGTATTTAAATACTAAATTCGTCTAAGAAAATAAATAAATAAATATATGTGTATAACCAATATAGCTTACATCTATTTATTACATAGAAATACTTACATTAGCAGGAATTGTATATCCTTTAATAATCGTAATTTCTGCAGGCAATTTCCGACATCTAAAAATAATAACGTTAACCAAACATTTATTAGTAACTTCGTAAAAGTTTAAAACAAAGAATCTCCTACGCGTAAAAAAATGAATGACTTTCAAATAATAGTTTTAAAATCTAAACAATATACATACCATTACAACAGGCCATAACCTATTAGTTTCATTAATAACACCATTTAAGTAAGGTAAATAGTACATAGGTAATTTCTCGTTATCATTCTCCAAAGCATTGTTCAATTCCTCTTGAAACGCTTTGAATTTATCAGGATTTCTTGCAATAAAATTATGAGGTAAAGCTAATTGTGTAAGTTCCAGCAGTTAAAATTTCTAATATTTGATCTAATATTTCAAAATCTGAAATTTGACCATATCTACGCATCTAATATTATCTGTAATACATCAACTTTAGGGTTCTTCGCTGTCTTTTACTCATTGAAAACTAATATATATTACAAATGTATATTTTATCATGAAAAGAGGATTAGATCGAAAACCAGCAAAACATTATATAATAAAGTACAAGTATGGATCAATATTCAAAATTGAATGAAGTAAAGGAAAATTGATCTCTAAATGGAAATAAAAATATTAGTTATATAATAAAGTAATGATACCAATATTAATCGGATTTTTCTTTCACTTCTATTTTTTTTTTGTGAAACATACAAAACTCTTCTTCGTAGTTCCAATTTTACTTTTCCTGGAAATGGATGAGATAAAGTTTCGACACTATGAAATTTACCCAATATTAGTTTTTCCAATAATATCCTGCATAAAAAAAAAAAATTTGAATTCTAAGCAATTTATATCTTGTAATAACCTTTTTTCTTTAAAAAAAAAAAAACCATGACCTACCACAGCGTAACTTTTGTACGAAATTAACAATACTAAGGACAGCATCACCAGATTTCTTTAAATAGTCGTATAATTTATAAATTAAGTCGTCAACACACGAAACCATTAACGGTTAAGGCATTCCTTGCCGAGAACAAATTAGCATTTTAAAGTCCATTCTTCCTCTAACATAAAAAATCTTTTTCGTGAAAAGTCTATTTATTCATACGAAATGTAATGAATCAAGGGTTAAATCTGGATCAATTCCGTAATTATCTTTTTAGGAACAAATATGAGTATAATTTTCGATTAAAAGATAAAAAATATTACATACTTCTTTGACAGCGTCCTTATCTGAAATCATTACTAACAATTATTACGTTGATTAAATACCAAGTGAAATTAATCATTATAGGACCATAAGTAGGAACTACTACCCCCTTGTATTTACTACGAAAATAACGGTTCATTAACACGTAATTAAACAATCAAATAAAATAAACGACGCGCGACAACCACAAGATACCTTTGACCTGATAATAAATAATTGTGAAAGAAAGAAAAAAGAATAACTTTGGTCCAGGGATTTCGCTTAATGGTCCAAAAAAAAAAAACGAAAAAAAAACGTAATAAAAAGATGAAAAGAAACCAATTAAATTCAACATAGCCATATTTTATAGATTTCTCACCGCCGAAAATAGTTTAGTTAAATTTTATGTACAACATCAAAAAAAATTTCTGACTGTGATGCAATATGCATCAAAGCACTAATCTTGAAAAATTTAATAGTAATGATTTTTAGTTTATTTTCCAGTAATAATTAAAACTACTATAACACTACTATACAATGTATAAAATATTAATATCATATCATTATTACAGTGCGATGATTACCAAAAAAGAAAAAGAAAAAAAAAAATCTTTTTTTATCCTCCCCGAGGTCCTCATTTAGCTAATTGATAAATTATAAACGGCTTTTGCGGATAATTTGTCCATTTTACTCCAATTACTCCAATTGGATTTCCTCCTTTCCTCGGTGATCATTAGAGCATCTTCCCCACACAAGGAATTTACGATTCTAATTTCTTTCTCAAACTTGATTTTTGGGGCGTTGCATAAGATCACCTTAACCTTAACCTTGTGCCAAACAACGATATGATCCGATTGCACCGAAGGCAGAATCGGTTTCCTTTTATTTTTCGTGATCAAATCCAAACCGGCTTTTACCTCGTATCGATTCAAGGTACCAGAAACCAGCATCAATTGATCACCATACACCTCAGATTTGACAACCTTTTCCGAATTGTAATGTATAAACTTTTTTCTCATCAATTGATGATATTCTTTTAAAAAGATTTTGATTTTTTTAACGTAAACCCTCATGTTTTTCAAGATCAACTCTATAGGAATTATGATGGAATTTCCAATCCCGAAAATCGTTTGATCTAAATTGGCCACATATTCCACACCCCCCGAAGGGGGTATCGAACTTCTAGCGTTCATGGGAATTGGTTGTAGGGTAGGTCGTACGGGTAGATTCCACCTTGTGATAGGACATAAGATGCTAATTTTTTTCACCCCGCATTTCAATCCAAAATATTTTGTTGGTTTGGAAAATTTCGCCTTTAAAGAATAAGATATTTGGGCCTTAACGGGATGTTTAAAGAAAAGGGAATCGGGCAGATCATCCGGCAAGGGGATTTCAAAGGGAAGGTCCAAATCGGTTATCTTTTGATAGACTCCCTTAATCGATGATTCCCAAATAACGTAAGAAAGTTCAATGATTTTCTTATTGACGTTTTTACACATTTCCAATTCACTCCATTTGACGAATTCCTTCCCGGTGAATATAATTTCTATCTTATCCGTTAATAAGGGATTCGTAATTGGTCTTCTTACATGTAAGATTCCGGCTATCTTTGTTTGTTGAACTCCCAAATATCCTTGTTGAAAATTCGTATTATTTGGCAAGTATGAAAAAAATATATTTTTACATGAACGTTTGTATTGTGATTTTGGTGGGAATATCGATAAATCCAAATGATCCTTCATGACGTCAAATTTTGGCAAAGGGACGAAAAAAAGCTTGTTTTTATTTGGTCAAACGAGGAAAAAAAAAAGTTAATGAGAGAGACTGTCCTGTGTGAAAAAAAAAAAAAAATAAATTGAATTCAAAAAAGCGCACATTAATTATAGTTTCAATCGGCAGTTACACACGAATGTATTTAAATAAAGCTTTCGTCATTGTATCATACCGGGAAATTCTTGACATAAACAAATAATATCACATCATTTTCAACATTCCTTTTATTCGATTTTCAATTATAAAGGTAATCTTTATATGACAATGATCATTCATAAACCATTTTAATAAACCTCATTAATTTCCACCTTTTTTTTTTTTTTTTTCCAAAGTAAATGCTACCACTACACGAATGTGATTTTGTCTAATTAAAGAAATTTATTTTTAGGGGAACACCAAAAATTGTCTTATTGAAGTTTGATCATGTGTCCTTTTTAGTGTCTCTGTCTCACTGCATAGGACAAATAGAATATACAAATCGGGCAAAACGGCCATCTATGGTATCAAACAAAATTCTAAAAAAAACCGGTAAAACAACCGGATCTAGGCGTAAATTCTAAAACGCGTGGCTCCACCTATTACCACTAAATAATGAAAATCGTTCATTCCCATTCTTCATTCCACCAAACCAAGAAAATCTTTGTCTCACCTTACCAAAATTTGAACTTTCATCACTCATCGTAGCTTTCGATAAATTCTCTTCTTGAAGGTGATAAAACCAAGTGTTCATCAATCGACATTGTTGAGCGAAGCAAGGGTGATCCCGTTTGGCGAAAACATTCAAGATGGAAATTTCCTTATCCAATTCAATGCTTTTTGATGAGGGATTTAGCGTGATTTTCACCTTTAATTTATGTCGAATGTCAATGTATTCAGTTTTCGTTGAACAATTTAATTTCCTGCCTAGATTCGTCTTGGTCAAATTTAATTGCATCCTGATAAAATAATCATGGTCCCTTCCCGAGGTGGTCGTCGTTGACTTCCTCATTTGCTCACCGAACGCCGAATCGGCTACGACGAACCCTCCGATCGTTTTTGATTTGCCATTGACCTTTAATTTATGATACTCTTTAATCCTAACATAAATTTTTTTGATTTTAACGTTCGTTATATCATTGACAACGAATTTCATCGGTATGTTAATGATATCCTTATAATTAAATAAGGTCTTCTCCAATTCCACCTCATAACCGATCCCCATGACATTCCCTTTCCACTTGAATGGTCGATCGTGCAAAGGTGGGGATTGCCACCTATGTATCCTACACCAAACGTCAATGATCTTCTTTGTATTCATTCGTAATTTAAAGATATTCATGGGACGTGATATTTCCGCTCGTAAACTGTACGTAATATGACCGACCTCCGATCCATCACCCGCGACACCTCCAGTAATATGTCCGCTAACGTTAAGTGGAGTTATGGTGGCGGGCAAATTATTCGGTAACGAGAACTCAAAAGGTAAATCCATTGTGAGAATGTCTTCAAATTCATTATTTAAAGATTCCCATATGATTTTTGTTTGTTTGCACAACATTTTTTCCCCGCGAATTTCTTTACCATGAACATCTTTCCAGGAAACACATTGCTTCCCCTCAAGGATCATCTCAATCTTATTCGCGCATAACGGGGAATTTGTGGAATAACGTAAGTGAAATGAACCTTTTAAAACGGTATTTTCTATACCGTAATAACCTTGTTGAAAGTCGGTTGGATTGGTTGACTGAAAATATGCTTTTGTGTTACAATGAAGGTATCCCCAATTTGGGTTGTATAATAACGTAAAATCGGTAGGTGTGGTGGGGGTCGGTACGTCTAATAAAGGATTTTGTGTAATTGTAATGTCTGTGGTCATGGTTGGAAGATGAAATTGAGAGAGAAACGGTCTTTTTTTCGCAAATGATAACCTTTTATATTTTATAAAGAAATGCAATAAATTCTATTTTTAAAAGTTTTTTATGCAAGCACCTTAAATTAGTCTGTCATTTATTGTTAATAATTTAGCAAAAAATAATAAATATTTTTTTTTTTTTTTTTTACCGTTTTACCAATCATTATCTAGGAACAATGCATCTCAATGATTACATTTTTACAATTTTGTAATACTTTGAGAATTTTGGCTGTGATTGTGTCATTAAAACGTTAGTACGGTTTATAAAAAGTAAAAGTGTTTTAAAATTTTTTTTTTAATTCTTTTCGATACTTGGAACCTGAAATTTTTTTTTAGGAATGAGTTATATTTATTTATGCGAAATAAAAGATATTTACATGTATATATATTTAGAGTAGTGAAAAAATATACAACTTTGATGTCTCCTTTCTAAATTTCATCAATGGCATTAACGATGTTAATGATTTTCTCAAATTTGACTCGTTTCTTGCCATTCAAGAATACAATGATCTCAACCACGTGCCAAACGTTAATCAAATCGGTCTTCACGCTACAACAAACCTTACTTTCACTCAAATATAAATTATATTCTTTAAATAATTCGATATCAAAACCGAAACCTTTATACGTTTGATCCAAATTCTCATTCATGACGCTATGAAGTAACCTTTTCTCCACCAAGTGAGACTTGTATCCCACCTTTAATTTACAATACTCATTAAAGTTAATTTGAATCTTCGCCTTGTTCACATTCCTGATCACTTTACGACTAATATTCTTGATATTGAGAGATAACTTGATGATATCGTATTGATTGAAAGTTACCTTGTTGAACGTGATGGAATAATCCCCACTATTCACCTTTTTGGTTAACGTAATGGATTCTTGCTTTTCGATTTCTCGTTGTCGAATAAATCTCGTTATCGGACATTTGATCTCCACCTCCTTATTTGATTTCTTGAATTTTAAAAATAGTTCACTCCGTCTTTCTTTTGTGATGACCGCCTTGATAGAATAATAAATCTTTGCCTTTCCTAGATGATTGGTAAGTTTTGACGTGACCGGTAAAATACTAGAGTGAGCATTCTCCGGTATCTTAAATTCGAATGGTAAATCCAAATAACTTAATCCCAACTCATCATCCCCGTCATATACACGACAAGAGTATTCAAAGTGCTTCTTTTCGGCGTAATTAATGATGGTACCTTCGTTCCATTGAACGTAAGATTTTCCGCTGAATATGATATCGATTTTTTTGGCTATCAAAGGTAAATTTGTCGGGTAACGAATGTGAAGCGTTCCATTTAACGTTGAAGCTTGAATACCTAAATAACCCTGTTGTTGATATGTGAAATATAATTTATTATCATCTTCGGTCGTTTGATTTAATAATAAATGATCGTATTCCTCCATGATTAAAAAAGGTTAATGCGTTAAAGAAAGAAAGGGAGGGAGGGAGGGAGGATTAAAAAAAAAAAAGATTGATTTTTCAGAATGTTCCATGATTAAAAATTGTTTGGTAAATGATTATGTTTGGTGTACAAAATGTTTATTAATGAAACCGGGTTTGGTAAGGATGAGTAAATTGTGAGATCCTATCCAAAATCTTTTTAGTTAACAAGACTTCAATTCAAACTTTACTAATGTAACAGTCGATACAATCCAACTTGTAAAAATCCTGAAATAAAGGAAAAAAAAAAAAAAGTTCATAAAAAAAAAAAAAGAGAAAAAAAAAAAAGAATTCTTTTAATAATAATAATAATAATATCAAATTTTACCGAATCCAACGCAAACCAATCCACATCTATAACCACGACTCATCAAGGAATGAATGTAAGATTGATAAATGGTAAAAACTCCCAAACCACCAAATGTAGCCGCACCAATTAAACGACAAGATAAACAATCTTTATATTCGTTTGGAGGTTTAGATGATAATTGTGTAGCGTCACCTTTAGTTCTGTTGGTATGTAAGTTGGGCTTATCTTTGGAGGTCATCTTTCTTGTTTAGCAAATTTGGGAACTTATTTTTTGTTAGGGAGAAATCTTTTTTAGAAAACTTGTCCAATTTCGGAAATCATTTGATATTTCAATGGGATGATAAAATCAGGTGACTAAATCACGTGCTCAAACGAGAAAAAATTATTTATTGATTCTTTATTAAATATTCGGCCCAGACGAATGAATTAATTGGTAAATTAAAAAATAGGAAATATGATACAAAAATTAACTATAATACAAGGTTTCAAGAAAAAAAAAGAAACCATTGGAATATTTAAGAAGGAAAATTATTAAAAAAAAAAAAGTATTGTCTCAACATCTAACTCTAACGCCAACGTCGAACTTTTTGGTTATTAAAGCCGGAGTAATAAAATGAACGATTTGTAAATCTTGATTTTCAACCATTTCAAATTCAAAATTCAATAATAAGGAAGCCAGTATTAATCTCATTTCCATCATGGCAAAATTATATCCGACACAGAATCTTGATCCGGATCCAAACGAGAAGATGTATTTTTTTAATTCTACGGGATCACCCTTCACCCAACGTTCAGGCACAAACTCTTCCGCATCCACGCCCCAAATTTCTTTTGAATGATGTATCTGGTAAATTGATGCGGAAACGTTCGTACCTTTTGGTATGTGGTATCCATCGATTATTATGTCATCTGTTGCCTGACGTAATATTCCCGCTATCGACACCGGGAAGAGACGTAAAATTTCATTGATAACCGCATTAAGGTATTGAAGGTTTTTAAGCGTTTTATGTTCGGGCGATTGACGTGACCCGGCAGGGAAGGCCGAATCCAATTCGTTCCGAAGGTTACGTAATTTCTCGGGATGATGAAGTAACATGATCAACGCCATGTTAATAGTGAATGAGCCTGTATCACTACCGGCAATTAAAAATTCCAGGGTTTGATCCCGAATTTCAAACTCCGACAATCCCTCGTTCGTTTTCGTGTCACGTGCATCCAACAAGGTTTGTAAGATGTCTTCCCGTCTTGTTCCCTGAGCGTTCAACTCCTTACGATCCCTTATGATCTGTTGAATAAATTCATCGGTCCACAAATCATTCTTAAAGAATGGTTTCAAATAAGGAAAGGTATGATTTAGCACACGTCGTCTTAATTCTTGAAAAACTTTTCCTGGAAGGGGATGCTCTCCATTTTCGATCAAATTAAATGAACCACCGAATGCTGTCTCTCCGATAATATCTAACGTCGTTGCTTGAACCAATTGATAAATATTAACGATCGGTAATCCATTTTCATTGAACCGAGTTTTATTTGAGGGTGATGTGGCGGTGTTCAAATTTGTGACAAGCGCTTGTATACATGATTGCATGAATGGCTCAAGGGATGCGATGAACTTGATGGAGAATGAGGGCGTTATCATAGATCTTCGTTGCTTATGGAATTTTCGGTCACTGTTGAAGAACAAGAGAAAGGGAATTTTGGTGAGTCACGTGTTCATGTCACATGTTCATGCTTTGACTATTCATTGTAAATGTCACTTACGTTGCGCTGAATAGGGTGGCGATGTTCGGGTCAGTGCGAATTCCGGAGATGGTGTCAGGTTTTGGTAATTCCTATTAGATGAAAAAAGTTTCAAAAATTTTTAACATTTGCAATTTTTTATAACTTGCAAGAAACGTTCAATTGGAAAATTTCGTACATACGTTGTCATAAAGAATTTGTCTTACGGCCTCTTTACTGGAGAATAAAACGAGATTTGGACCAACTCTCACGACGTTACCGTATTGACGATGCATTTGGTAAAACCATTCAAAAACACGACCTTTAGGCCTTCTTATGGCAATTAACAAATATGATACGGAACTGATTATTGGACCCGGAATTGCTTTTAACGGGCTGATAAACGCGTTGTGAATCATGCTTGACACAATCCTTAAGAATACCGCTAGTATCAACCATCCGATGACTTTTGATAAAGCGTAAGTTGATGTACCCGAAACAAAATCGATCATTGTAAGTGTATTTTGAATTTTTAAAAGTAATGGTATTATTGTAATTTTATTAGCTAGCGTTATTTTTTTTTAAAAAAATAAAAATAAAAAACAGGTTATTTTTTTATGACTGTCTATTATTTTATTATTTATTATTATTGTGAATTTTTTTTTATTATTTCTTTAAAATAAAAAAAGAAATTAAATTTGACAATTAAATCTTCCGAGGGAATTGTGGGTCCTATATATATCAATTTTTTTTTTTTCTTCCAAAGGTTAAGACTGTAAATTTTCCGGATATGTGAAATGTGAAATGTATTATGATATCCGAAATAAAATTAATGTGTGTAATAAAATAAAAATAATGATGTGATATACGCACAAATAGGAGTCGGCCGACAATCGAAAATGTTTTTTTGTCACATTGTCACACCGAGATAGCCTATTTGTTTGCTAAAATGTAAGAAATTGCTTTTTACGATGAATCTTTAAATGGATAGATTGAACAAAAGGCCGTGGCTAGTGCGAAATGTTAATAAAGACAAGGTAAAAATAGAAATAGAATTCCGGAAAATTCCTCAATTTTTGACAGGGAAATCGGGAAACAAAAATGGACAATCTGTCAAATAAAGCAACAAATTGGTATGCGGCCGAGATTTCACCATCTAATTATTTCCGTTCTACGCTTTCCCAATTAATGCACAATTGATTGATCATGGAGATTTCTTTCAATAAATGACATTTTTGAGTATATATGTATATGTATATGATAACAATTGTGTTGCTTTTTTTGATGTCCGTGTGGCTAATCAAAGATTTTAGGACAGATCGATCCACTTGCCACGTTGCACAACCTAAAATTTGGCGGTGGCCAGAGTTCAGTGTTGGGAATAGCGGAGGTGATATTAAAGGCGTATGATGTAATGAATGGCAAATTTTTCAAAAGCACTCCATACGGAATTTGGATTCTATGGGTAATAGTAATACCCGAAGAATTATCACCTTAAATTAAATTTTCAAAAATGGATGATTATTTGTCCAAAAATAACCCTTTTTGTGAATCTCCCCCCCCCCCCACCCCTTCTCCTTACGCCATCTAATGGGTGAAAATATCACGTGCCTCTCACAACATGTTATATTCAAATATTCAAATGGTAAATAAAAAGATCTTTGGCGAAACGAAACCTATTTTAAGACCAAATGGAACTTCAAAAAGAACAAATATTGCACAATCATTCAAACGCAAATCTTTGTTAACCATGTAAAGACAATTCCAACTTTAGGCCTTCTTCACATTAATGAATGACGGAATTTAGTAAATCCTTTTTTTTTTTTTTTATTAAAAAATTATATTTGATGATACTTTCTCCTTTCCAATAAATGAAATTATATGCAATATGTCCGAAATAATTTCCAATGTTATTTTTTTTTTGTTTGCAAACATTTTCTTTATCAATCCAGATTCAATGCATTTTTTTTTTATTTTACACTAAATTTCAAAAAAAAATTAATTGTTTTTTTTAATACATGTTGAAGGACAACGGAACCCTAAATAATAGAATACGATTTGTTATTCAGAATAAATTTTTGATTTGTGTGTTAATTATAGATACCTTCTTGTTCAAAAAAAAAAAGAAAGAAAACAACAAAAAAAATATATATATATATAAATCGACTCGATTGTCAGGGTGTCTAATTGGTCTTGTTTCATTCAATATATTGGAAAATAGAAATTTTTCGATTGATATTCATTCCAAAAATAGGAATTAATAAATTGAAATGTTTGATTTTGGTTACACCAATAATTATCGACGACTTTTTATATATGTATTCAATATTTTTTTCATTCTCATCCAAAAAAAGTTTTCCTTTTTTTTTTCATGTGTGATTAGATATAGAAACATCCAAAAATAATCATTAAAAATTACCCTTCCTTTCCTTTTTACAATGCATAGAATTTCTACAAACAATTGATATATTACAAACAAAGAATAATGAGAAAAACAATATTCATGATAATAGGAGCAGCGCTTCTAAATATCATCATAACTATTAACGCTATAAATGTGCAATCACCTCAACCACCACCTCGGTCGTATCAAGATGGAAATTTCTTTTATAACAAGATGAGAAGCGACCTGACATCGATTTTAAGTAATGATAAAATATATTTTTTCGGCGGTGAAACATTCAACAAGTCCGATTCAAGTCAAAAGATATCGAATGAATTGTTCACATTGGACGTTTCGTCCCTGGATCTTAATAATAGCAACGACACTTTTAATACCGAATCGTTGGGGGAGAACAAATGGGAATTGCTTGATTCGATGAAAGTAGGATTAAAGCATAACTTGATAGCCTTGTCAGCTCGTGATGATTATTCCACGATAATAATTTATGGGGGAGAGACTTTTATTCCAAATACCGATAAAAGCATTAAAGTTGAATCGCAGATTTATGAGTACGATATTAATGCGAAAAAATGGACCATGAATCCAAAATATCGAGGGAAACCACCACCAAATCGTTTATCTTTTGCAAGTTATGCTCAAAACTTGGAGGATGGGATGATTTATTTATTTGGAGGGATATCAAATGATGGAAGAAAGATCAATAATAAATTATATTCCATTGACACAAATGATAAACGATGGAATGAAGAAACTGCGGATGATGCGCCTCCCGGAGTATTTGGGTCAGCTTGCACCCTGTTGAAGGATGGTAAAATCGTATTCATTGGCGGAGCAAATTTCGGTGATTTAGATAAGTTGACATTATCACAAATGAACAAATTGAATATTTACGACACAGTAAATGGTAAATGGAGCATTCGATCCACTTCCGATAAGAATTTGCCCGAAGGTAGGATCGGACACACCGTCACATTATATGATAATAAAATCATTATAATCGGTGGGATAAACCTGAAAAATGAGAAAGCAAGCGTTCCGTATCTGTTTTATCTGGACCTTGATGAATGGGATTGGAAAAATTTAAAGTCTGATCAATCCAACTATAATGGATTTGCTAGATTTGGACATAACACGATTTTGCACGATGATCATTTATTTGTTACTTTTGGTCAAAGTACTAATGAAAATGATGAAATCAATCCAATCGAAGCGATTAACGCGGATAACCTTGAAAGAATTATTCAACCACCAAGGAATTCTAACAAGGAGAAAGTTGTTACGTTCAACACTGCTAAAAAAACTCCTGAATCATCATCATCATCATCTTCAACTTCATCAACGCAGGGTGAAAATAATAATAATCCCGTTGGTCTCCCTGAAGAAGGGGTGATTTATGATAATCCTGCAACTGACGTTACACCGAATTCCCTTGAGAAAGATAATTCAGTTATTCTTACTTTAAGTATTGTAGGAGGTATCTTTTTGATGATTATTATTTTGACAGCGTTATTGCTTATTTACATAAAGAGGCGCAAATTCAAGATTGGTAATGACATTAATAGTAACAAAACTACTTCTATTCTCCCTGTTACTACTCGAAATATTACGAGAAAAAAAGTGCCAACTTTATTTAGAGATTCCACAAGCACTCATAATACGACTTATTATCCGAATATAGTAAATGAATCGATTGGTGATATACAAAATGCCAATAATGTTAAAACTACTACGGTAAAACCAAAAACTCCGACGGTAATTTATGCTTCAGGTGTTTCTTCCGTTTTTGCTGATTTATTATTTACTGGTTCAATTGAGGACACAAATGAATCAAATGATGATGTCGATGCTTCAGGGTTCTATAGATCAAAAACCGACCTTGATGTTGTGGAAGAGGTACAAGAGGTACTCACTCCCTAGTTTATTCTTGATAGAATTTAGAGTTTGTAACATTTTTTTATCAAAGGGATACATCTTTATTGTACTTTTGTATTCATAATTTATTAAACATTCTTTGCAAGATTAATTGCTATTCTTTATCCTTGTGCCACATTATTAACGTAATGTATACCAGCGTTAAAGAAATATTCGCATGATTTATGTCAGTCAAACATACCTTGTAGTCGTCTAGATCACTCTTTAGCGTCATGTGAGCAACTTTTGTATATTCGAACTGTGCCAAACATTAAAAAACTCGCATATTGAGTGTAACTTTCAAACTGTAATTTTTTTACGTTCAATTTGAATTCTCTCGTCATAACTCTCAGATATGAATAGCTAAAGGGCTAAAGGGAAATCAACCTATATTGTTATATTGGATTTAATTTGATGATCCAAATCATTGATTGCCGCAAATTTTCGATGATCGAATATACATACACGTGTAAAGCATGTCTTTTTTGTAGGAAAAAAATTTTAATCGATCGATTCGAATTTCCTATACTTTATCATTAAATTCAAAAAATGCCACACAGATTCAATGTGGCATGATTTTTTAAGCATGTGGCTTCTGACTTTCTTACTCAACCACATCGATCACCACCTTTTATATGACGCCAAATGGCTTTGTGATAAAAGATTTCTTTCTCATTTAAATCATCACATATACAAAAATCAATTCAAAATGACAATCTCGGATTTTAAATGTTTAAAATTTACTTTATTAATGATTTGACTCGGCCGTAATGTTGCATATAAAGAACGGAGCTAACCTTTTAATCATTGTACCTGACTTGCAACCTTAAAATTATTTATGATTTGGTGGTCGCATTTATTGATTAGCTCATCGATTTACACCATCGTTCGGCCGTAACAACGAATGCTCTTACTTGTCTTTGGTTAAGATTTTAAGAGCATTGTACATGTCAAACAAATAAACCACGTTTATGTACATTATTTTAAGGACGCGTCATTTATTTTACGGCGTATCACGAAAAAAAAAAGAATTTGGTAAAGAAGATTTGTAAGAAAACAATAACATTACAGAAGTGATTGTCGAATTCCATTTTTGATCTAGATTCCACCCTTTAAATTGTTGTTCGGCCGAGTTGCTCAATGATATAAGGTTATAAGCAAGCAATTTCATGCGAAAAAAGCGTGGGCGTTTTTTTCCTTTCCTTCACTTTTATGCATAGATTTGTTGATATTCCCAAATTGATTCGTACTATTAATCCTTTTTTTATTTTTATTTTAATGGTTTACTTCATGTTATTTTTTTTGAAATTCGGCCGAATTTATTTTTGCAAATGGTGCATTAAAGGTTAATTTTTGATTTGGAGATAAGGTTGCTGACAGAAAAGTACTTGAAAATGAATTAAAATCAAAAGTGACATAAAAAAGTAAATAAAAATTAAAAATAAATTTATTTTTGACTTCTTAGATGAGAAATTAAATCCTCATGCTCGTTTGTATTCCGTTTAAAGAATTATGTTTCTTTGTGACACACAACCAACAATTTTGAACACGCGTAAAAGACTCACGTGAATTTTCAAATCGGTTTTGGTAATCCTTTATTATAAATTGATTAATTGGGAAAGAATATGCATGCATCATCGAAAAACCTTGTCGTTAATAATTTATTAATTTAACATTTTTTCTTATGATGAACGAGATGATCTCGGCCGAAATGAAAGCAAAGTACTCCTATTTTCCAAAACCGGTTTATGTTACTTTATTACGAGAACCTTTTTTTTAACTAGTAAAGGAAAAAAAAAAAGTACCTGGTAGATTATAAACAAAATGAAGAAACTGTTTAAAGGACAAAATTTTCAACAAAATTTCCTCAATCGGGAAATTACCGACAAATTTTGCGTTACCAGATTGAAGATTTTTTTTTTTTAAAGTAATGAGTGATTGTTAATCTTTAAATGGTCGGCTGAAGCATAATTTAAATAGACTTTACATAACGCAAGAGTGATTTAACGTCTTCCACAAATTTTATAAAATTAATAATGAGAACGATTTTGTCAATAGTTCGGCCAAGTAAAAAAAATAAAATAAAATAAAATATTTCTAGATCATATTTATTTTGATTTTGATTTTAAAATTTTTTTTTTAAAAAAAAGAATACAAATTGGGATTTTGTTTCTTTAAAGATATGTAAAGAGATAGACAAAAGTTGGAATTGTTTATATATTGGAACGGTGAATAGAATATTTAATGAATTCCCATCATATGACGATAAAAACATTTTTTGCGTTATTCTAATTTATTAAGTTTATTGAATCCATAAAAATTTTGATTTTAATTTCGATTTAATTCCAGCTGGAATTTTTGATTTGATATCATGATTTTCATTCTGATCATTTCATCGTGAAAAAAGATTATAAAAAGGGAATGTGAATCCGTTGCATGGTATTCTATACATTCAGTAAAGCGATCAAGAATTTACCATCTTTAAATAGATTTTGAACGTGATTGTTACGTTTAGTAATCTTCAAATGGTTAGAGTATGTCCGAAAATATTGAAAACATGAAAAAAAAATAAAAAATAAAAAAGCATAAAGAAAATAATTACGTCCAATCCATCTTTCTAATTGTGCCAACAATCTAGGAATATATAGAAATTTATTCCTAGAATGTTATTGGCTCGTTTAAATTGTTGTTTTGCAGATCAGACCTTATGTTACAAAAATCAAAGAAAATTTCATTTTTTGGATTCGTTTTATCGGTATACTAGTTTACTAGGAAAAACAAAAAACAATTTAATGAAAGAAACTATTCTAGAAACATTTTTTAATTATAAATATTTAATAAGAATTATGGTACTTTTTTCAAAATGACAATATGAATCGGGAGGTTAGTTTAAAAACTGCATTTACAGCTTTTTCTCATTTTAGTATTGTTGTATTCAGTTCTTTCGTTTATGTATTTATAAACAAATTGTATTTGTAAGCATAAGGATTTATTAAAGAATATTGAAGTAATTATGGCGTTAAATTTACCCAACGTTAGCGCTATTAAACTCGATAAATGCTAATCACTACAAACTAATTAATTAAAACTACGTAAATACATTATAAAAATAAAAATAAAAAAAAATCAGAAATTAAGCATAAACAAAGTTTACATGTTAAAAATAATAAAGTTAAGTGGAGAAAGCGATAATATCGCAAAGTAGATAAGGAAGAGGTTAAGTTGTATGATGCAAAAGGAAGGAAGACGAAACATTGTTCAAAATTGAACTACAAGGACTAACCAAATTCAACGGACAATTTATGAACTAAAATTGTTTCTTTGGGCGAAACTATATTAAAATGTAACAGTATTCCATAACAATTAAGACTGATCAAAATCTGAAAAATTTTTTGAATGATTAAAGAATTTCAAAACTTGACGACCATGAAAATGCCTCCAGTTGCTTGAGAGATTTTATTAATTTATTCTGTTTTATTCATCTTTACGAGAAAAATTTTTGGCCTTTATTTACTAGTATAATAAAGTATATAACCATCAGAATAAATAATTATCAAGAGGATCATTATCAGAGATAATTATATGGTAATGTAATCTTAAAATGAAATAGAAGATTAAGAAAAAATTCAAAATAATATTCTTCATTAACAGCTAGTTGATTTGACTTAGATTTCAAGTTGGAGTATGAAGAAGATTTAAGATTATTAAATAGATAAATCCTATGCTGAGTGATGTTTTACTAAAATGTGACGCAGACATGTCATTGACTGATATAGATATGGGACTCGCCTACGACACGCGTACTTCTTCCCTCTTTGATAGCATCATATATTTCACTCGCTATCTTCGATTTACTATTTAATAAATTTTCGCTCATATTGGACTTTATATCTTTAACAAGTGTAAAAGTGTAAAACACATTTATATCATTGATATATTATTTATTTCATAAATTATTACATTTTTGAGCGAAAAGGCTAATCTGTATTAATCTAGATGGTCTCAGTTGTAACAATTTTTTTAATCTCTTTTCCTCCTTGCGCAACTTTAGTGATCCAGTACCAACGAACTCACTTAGGCCAAGATCAACAAAAAAGAAATGGCGACTTCTTGGCTCAAAGAGAATATTTCTCTGTGAAATATCATTATGCAAAACATCATAACTATGTATTTCCACAAGTTGTTTAACTATTGTTTTTTTTCTTCTATAGTATGTACTGTGGGATCAATATGACGAGCATCTTCCACTAGCTGTAATGCCAATGCATAAAAATACCTATCATAAACATAACCTTCATAGGACAAAGGTGGAATAGCATTTCCTAATATCAGCATTGCGATAAAAACAAGTTAATACCTATAATAATCATGAAATGAAAAAAAAAGGTTCATATCTTGACATTCCTTCAAAATGGAATACATATGAGCTTCAAGATTAGCGCTTTTTTCTTTTCTTGCTCTTTATACGTGGCACAGGTCTTCTATGCCAATACTTGACCATGATAATGGCCAGAAAAAATTTTTCCAAATGTTCCATAATCTATGTATCCATCTATGATAGTGATTCCTTTGGAATAACTTTTAGTTATTTTCTACCACCGATCTTATTAGGGTCATCATCATCAGAGTCACTAGATGATATATTATCAAGCGTAATATGACTCAATCTATTATTGGCATTATCAGTAAAAGCTAATCGACTGATGTAGTACACGCATTCGCGTAAAGTTAAATTAACATCATTAGGTTGAACAACACAGGTAACATACAAAGTGGTTGAACTTGCTTCATCTCGCTTGTGAAAGTATGTATCGCTATAATTTGATAAGATGCCGTAATGAAGGCCATTACAGGCCATTGCGCAAAACACCTGCGATAAGATCCTTTTCTTAAATTTAAAATTAAGATCCCTATTCCTTATTTGATCCCGGTCAACATTTCGACAAACTTCCCAGAGATTATAACCTCTTAAATTCAGATTGTGACACATTTTCATTTCCACAGGCATTTTGGCTACTGTGAAATTATTAGTGCATAAGACATGATCAGAAAGGCCTAAAAATCCAGTGAGTGTCTCGCAAAATATTCCTTGTAGTCCTTGTGATCTTACTAATAATTTGTTGATAGGCGATAAAATATTGTAATACATACGAATTTTTGCATCACCTTTGACTCTAAGATTGAGTTCTTCAGTTGAGCATATGGGGATCTGTCCTCCTGGAATGACAAAAATTGAACTGGCAACTGTAAGTCCTACACCTTGAAAGAATCCAGTCCATTCCCTTACGGTCTCTGGAAAGAGTGGGTAAGCAGACTCTGTTGAAGTGGGATTAAGCCAAACTTGGTCGAGCTATTGGCAAACCGGAACGTCGTGACTTAGTAATTGAACTGCTGTTTCGGTCATCTTTAGTGTTAACCAAACGCAAAGTAGAAAACTATTAGAATAATAAGAAGAAAAAACTTTTTTATATCTAGTCGATCAAATTATCGAGATCGTTGCCAGTAAAATCAAGTCATATGTTAATCTTTTAATAATGATAACCAGGCTCTACAAAAAAAGAAAAATAAATGTTTTCTATTATTTAATTACTTAGTATTGTTGTCTCCCTCATGTTAGTAAGTTGGTAATTTGATTTAGTACTATGGGCCGGTGGCAAAAAGATTCGTACCTCACCTAAAAAGGAAAGGATTTACGCCAAGAAAATATCGTTCAGCTAAATAAAATGGGCTGAAAAAAAAATATATATTAGAATGGCTTTGAATAAACATTTTTCACTATAATTTTTTTGTTTTATTACCCATAGTTCCCCTATGAAACGAAGTGGTGCACCATTAACTGATAATGAAAAGTCAATGGTAATCTCCATTTACAATTATTTTTCGGGGTTAACTTTAAAACAGAGAACTATCAAAAGACCACATTATGCAAGCGGGTTTCTGATGCATTAAATATATCAGAAAGTACGGTTGGAGTGGTTGTGGCAGATTAGAACAAGCGTAGTAATAACACTTTTATGTCGCATAAAACCCTTAGTTGACCTAAATTGCAACCCAATGAAAATATTTCAGAAATTTTGCATACGAAAATTTTAAATTCTAACAAAACGGCCGAACAACTTTCTACACATATCTTACAACAGTTTCTTGCTAATAAAGTATATGACTTTTCTAAATGGAAGCTTCTTCGAATACTACACCAGTTGGGCTTTTATTATGGTCAGGGAGAACATAGAAATCTCCTCCATAAATCACCAAATAATGTTACATTTCGTAGTTGTTATCTTCATTTTCGTTTTGCCAATTTAGAAGGCCAAAATGATATTTCACATCATCCAGAAGTTTTTCTTGATGAATCATACTGCCACTTACATCATAATGCTCGCAATACATGAGTTCCTCATTATGGTGTTGTTTTGGCATCTGGGCATGATCCGTTGGTGGTAATTTTTGGAGCAATTATTGTATTCCAAAATGGATCTTCTAACAAGCTAAATGGTGAACTTATTCCTAATTCTGTCCATATTTGGGATCTAACAATTAAACCTTCAAGTAATAGAAGAAGAAAAAGGAATAATGCTGAAGAATAGAATGATGTTTCTGATGTTGTTAAAGAAGCAAATATTGTTCCCAACCAAGTAGATTATCATGAAAATTTTACTGCAAAAATTTTTGAGGATCTTTTTTCAACTCTTTGCAAAACCCTTCATGAAAAATATGGGTCTGTATGTATTTATATAGATGGGTAAGCTATCATAAACGACAGGTTGAAACTATTCTAACTTCGAATGCAAATAAGCAAGAAATTATTGATTGGTTAAATGCACATGATATTGTTTTTCAGAAGAGTTAAGAAAATCAGAACTTTTAGAATTGGTTTAAATAAACAAAGAAAAGGTTCCATTTTCGTATGTTAAGATTGCAGAATAATATGAATATGAAGTTAATTTTACCCTCCTTATTATTGCAAATTACAACCTATTGAAGATGTTTGGTCAGTTGTAAAGGGTGAAGTTACATGATCAAGTCTACATCTAAACCTTTTATCTGTTAGAAATACACTATTAAATGCATTTAAAGAAAAAAATTTTTCAAAAGTTATTGTTGGACTTTAGAGAAGAGCGCTTAAAAATACTAAAGATATTTTGAGTCTAATGAGAATATACAATTAATGGATAAAGAATTTGACGCTTATGGTAGTTCTAATAATAATCACGTGATATGATGTAATTTTATATTATATCTTTCTCAATATGGGTTGATTGTTATAAAAATCAGGTTTCAGGAATTTTTTAACAAAATTGAAATTTTTATTACATTTTAGTTTTTGATGTTATTAGGTTAAAATGTATTAAGCTCTTAATTTAAGTCAAAAATTTCTCAGAACCTGATTTTCCTAAAAATCCTTTCGTATGTAATGATAATATTTGAATTAAAAAAAAAATTTACATAATAAAAATTTTTTTATTAATACAATATCTGAGATATGAATCTTTTTACACTAACCTATATTAATTTATTTATTTATTTTTTTTAGAAACAAGTTTACTCCTTTTATATAGTGAGAATTTATCATTATTATTCAAGATGATGCGAATACATGACATGATTTATAGTTCCTGTAACTCTATCTTACTTTCGATATAGAATAATGCTATTTTTATAAAATTGAGTTTATAGTTTAGCAGGTTATACTAGTTAATTATTTACATAATAAGAAATATATGTTATCTTTAATATCACGTGATGTCATAATCGAATGAAGGCTTTTATATTTAAAATTTTTTAAAATAATTAATTTTTGATCATTTCAAATAAAAACGTATCAAAAACAAATAGACTGATTAGTTATAATTGAATTAATTTAATTCTATGTATTAATCAGCAAACTTAATTCTAGATGTTAATTATATAATATATTCAATAATCAAAAACTTAAATAATTAGAAATGAACTGACCTAATAATAATAGCATAATAAACTTAAACTTAAAGTATTAATTTTCAAAATGAGTATCATCTAACTTCTTAGCTATAGAAAGAAATTCACAAAGGCTTTAACTTTAAAATATAGAATAATATGATAAAAAATACAGTATATTTATTGTATTTAAGCAAGTGATGATATCAAGTTTGAGTTAATAGGGTAATAAAATTTTGAGTTAAAGTATATAAATTAATAGTAATATAGAAAATTATATATTTTCATATAAAACACAATAATTATCTACAATCAGAAAGGAAAAAAATTAAAGAAAAACTTAGACAATTGATTAAAAATATTAAATTATTTTCAGATGTAAAATGTAGTATTATTACTTATCTAAATTAATAAAAATCTAAAATATGTTATTATATATATTGCTAACATTTTTTTAATTATTATTATATAATATATTGAATATTATATTAGTAAAGGATTACTTATATTTTTAACAAGATAAATTATTGGCTTGTTTACTTATATAATATAAGTCATTATCTTCATTTTATTTTATATTAAAATTTTTATACTGTATTTTACAATTATAATGAACTATTTAAAATTAGTTATAAAAAAATAGATTTTAACTTAAAAAAGTTTAAAGTACTATTCTTGATAATGTATTAAAAATTTTTCAGATTTCTAACTTTAAAAACATCATTTACAAAATTGCTTACATTCCATTTTTTTTTTTATTTTTATAATATTTTGTTCTTTATTACCTTTTCTCTTTTGATATTTATATTATATAATAAAATTGATTTAATTTAATACTTTTTTTTAACTTAGCTTATAATTTTTTTTTGTAAGCAAATACTAAAAGTTATATAATATATAAAAGCTTTATAATAGAAGAAAAACTACTAAAATTTTTCTAAATTAATGTTAAATCTAAATTTATTTTACTAAAAAATCGTATTTAACTTATAAAGTAAAAATTTTTTGATAATTTTCTCTCTTTTACTATAAAATATTTAAATATAGAATTTTAATATAATTATTTTCTAAGTTTATTCATATGCTAATTATTTAGATTTAAAATTAGAACTTATAGTTATTTAATAAAAAAAATTTTATAAGATTTTTAAATTTCCAATCTGAATTTTCTAAAATTATAAATACTTTAATATTATTTTTTTCTTATCTTATTAATATACTTAATTATGTTAATTATTTTTATATCTTCTTTTTATTTTTTTCTATTAAATTTAAATTTATAAAATATTTAAACTTAATCAATTTATTTATTTTATTTATATTTGATAATAGATTAATAAAAGTTTATGTTAAAAGATCTAGATCTATCCTTTATTATTAAATAATCTTTTTAATAGTTTAACTTTTAATTCCAATTTTATTAATAGTTTAATAGATTTTGATCATATTAATATAACTCATAATAGAATAATTTATATTTATATAAATTTTATGGTATTCTTAAATTATTTTTTATCATTTTATATATCTTTTTATAATTTAGCTTTCTATCATTTAAAATTTTATTTAACTTTAAAGCATTAAATTAATCTATATTTATATTAAAATACTTTATTTATTTTTTTAAGAAAGTATCTGTCTAGTTGATAATAAAGTTATAAACATAATTTTTAAGTAAATACCTAAATTATAAATATATATTTTAAGATAAATATTTAAATAATAGATATAACTTTTGAAAATTGCATTTCTAATACTATTATTTAAATTATATATATAACTTTTTAATGATATTTATAATTCTTTTTATTTTAATATTATTAAACTTTACTAATTTTTTATATTTATAATCATATTGATTACAAGTATAAGTAACTATTATTAACAAAGTAATTAGCTAATAAAAATAAAGTCATATAGATTATACAGTATAATAATCTCTTAATACTAAATTCTAAAAATATTGAGAATTTTATAAATTCTAAAAATATGAAAAATTTATATAATTTTATTGATCTTTAAATAATAATAATAACTTTAATTCTATAAATTAAATAAAAATCTAAAAATACTTAATTTAATACTTATTCTATTTTTTATTATTTTCTTATTTTATTATATGTTTTTTATTTTTATTATTTTTATTTTATTTATCTTTATTTATTAAATTAATTAGATTATAATATAGCAAATAGTTAATTATAATAAGAGAAATTTTGTATAAATAGATAGACTCTTTATTTATATTATATATAGATGTCTGCTGAAACCTCCTCAAAATAATTTCATCATACCCTTTTCTATGTTTTTAATATAGTTTCGACAGTTTCAGCTTTCGTCATATCGAATGGATTTCATTATATCTCTTATTATGATTTAAATATAGTTTCGTCTAAGTTTCAACTGTTATTAAGGGGTTTCATCCCTCATCTATAATGTTATAAATTAACTTTTTGTAAATACAAATTTTAACATTATAATAAAAAAATTAATTAAATCTTATATCTTTCTACCTCTTCATATCTTTATATAGTCTAATATAATTTTTACACAATATTTGTAATTGAGTTTATCATCTAAATTCTTTAATTAAATTTATTTATAACTTTATCTTTCAAGTCTTCATATTTGATAGATTTGTTAAATTTAATATATAAAATTTAGTTAAATTAAAAGTTAGACAAATTTAAACATCTTAATAGCTTTAAATAAAAACTTAAGAATATTATCAACTTGAGTTAAAAAATTTTATAGTAACACTATTATAATTTTACAATTATTATATAATACTTAAAAATTATTTTTTATTAATAATTATTCATATACTTCAAGTTTTATGTCTTTTAATATTATTATAAATTGTATTTAAGATCTTAATAAATAATAACTAAGATATTAATTTTTAGTATTCTTAATCTAATATCTGAAAATTTTAACATATTTAAAATTTAATATCTTGAATTATTATATAAATATGCTTTGTAATAAAAAAGAAGAAAACTACTAAAAAAATTAAATTTAAAGTTAAATTTAGTTTTTAAATAAAAAACTTAAAAAAAGTTATATTTTATTTTTAAAGTATTTTTTAAAAAAAATAATTTATAAAAATTTTTTTATATTTTGATAATATTAAATAAGCAGTATTTATAATAAATAAATATTTTCAAGTATTTTTAATATTTTTAACACTTTAAATTTAATTGATTCATAAATAATCTAATTACATTAATTTAAATTAGTAATAAATAATAATTAAATATTTATATTTATTTTTATTTTTAAATAAATTTATTATTATTTCTCTTTTTAACTTAATTATTAACTTGTAGTTTTTTTATTTAATGTTATAATTAGAATATTTAATTATATTACTTTATTAGTAATTTTTTTTATTTATACCCTATAAAAAATTTGCATACGTTTTTTTATTTATTATAAATAAGTTTTGTATATGTTTTTTGAAATTCCATAACACATTTCCTTATATTTTATAAGGAATTTTTTTTAGCATTTTTTTTATAAAAAATGATGTATAAGGAATTGTTAATTAATAATATATTAAAATAATAAAAAAAAATTATATTTTATTACATTGAAAATTATAAGGTTTTTATAATAAAATTATACATTTTTTAAATTTTAATATTTTTTTTGATTGATTTATACTAAAAATAAAAGAATTAATAGATTTGTTATAATTTATAAAATTGGTACTTATTTGCTACTATTATTATAAATAGTACTCAGGCTGTATGATGAGAATGTCAGTACCTTAACAGCTCCAAAAAAAATTGAGTCTCCAACTGATATTTGATACAAACTAGACTTCGCTACTCAAAATAAATGTATAGACTTAAAGTATTTAGAATCCCGTTCCTCAAGACAAAAAAGAAAATATTTAAAAAAAATGTATATTGAGAATAAAAAAAAAATAAAAAAGAAATGATTTAAAAAATAGCAAAAAAAATTGTATATTAAGTAAAAATAAAAATAAAAAATAAATAAAAAAAATTTCTAATAAAAAAAGAATAGAATAATTAGTAAATATAAATTGTCAAAATAATTGTTAAAAATATATAAAGTTATTAAAAAATATTTGTATTTACAATTTTTTGAAACTTCTGCTGCTAAAAAGAAAATAAAGTTATTACTAAACATAAATTTGTCAAAAAATATTTAAACTTTTAAAGAAAGTTTATATTTACCAATTTGAGCTAATAGCTCTATGACTTGAACTAAAAAGAAATAAATTATTACTAAACATAAATTTGTCAAAAAATCAAAACTTTAAAAAATGTTTATATTTACTATTTGAAACAAATCGCTCCTCTAAAAAGAAAATAAAGTTATTACTAAGTATAAATTTGTCAAAATATCAATCCTTTTAAAGAAAAAATGTATTTACCATTTTTTACATTAAAAGCCTTTCGCTTCTTTTCTATAAAAGAAAAAAAATTAGCAATTCAAAAAAAATATATAATTAAACTTTAATAACAAGTATATTATTATACCACCTCTAGAGTCTCTCTGCTTTCATATCCGTTTATTCATTTGAAATTTATTATTGTATTTGTCATCTAAAAAATATATATATAAAATATTTTAAAAATATTTTGTAAAAATTAAAAATTTATTAAATATAAATATAAAATTCTTTATATTTACGAGAAGGATCCCAAAATAGGTATTAAATAATTCGTAATATTGAAGGGCTAATTTACCCTTCTTTCCCTATCATTTCCTGATCTCAATAACTTTAAGTTCTAAATAAAAAGAAAAAAAAGAAAATATTTATATATAATGTATTATTTTGTTTTTATTACCATTTTTATAATTTTACTTACATCATATTCGATAACTAAAGAGGAAAATTTTCTCTGATATTGAATGCCAGAAAAATTGCTATTAGCAATTTCATTCACTTTTTATGCTAAATAGGCCCAAAATTATTTCTTAGAATTTTCCTAAGACTTATAATAATCCTAAAATAATTTTACAAATTAAAAAATAATTTATATTAAAATATTTACATTATTTCATTCTCTTCGCTCTTATATAAGATCATTAGTAGCTTCTTTTGACTACTTAACTCTTGGTGGTTTAGCAGAAGCAGGAGCAGAAGCAAAAGCAATAGTTGATGAAGACATATTGTAAAATTAAAATAAGTTTTGTTAAAAAAAAAAGAAAAAAACAAAAAATAAAAACTTCTTTTATATACTTGAATTATAATTACATGTAAAGATATTAAATTTCTAATATATCAGCATATATTGTCAATATTATTAATTTGAAATTTAATTTACGAAAAATTCAAATTTCTAACACGTCAGCATTTATTGTCAATATTATTCATTTGAAATTTAATATTCAAATTTTACGACATAAATTTCTAATTC